AAAAAAAACTTAATTACCTATACCTGAATAACACAGATGAGATTGAGAAACTGTACGAACTAAAAGATCTGCGTTTGTAAACTATTGATGTGACATTTACACTTTTTCACTTTCATAAGTGTGAGAACCGTGTGGTATGTTAAATTATCGAATTAAGCGAACAAACCTTTATGATATTTTCTTTCCACTTTTTCAAATTTGTCCCTAAATCACAGCCAATCAATTTTCTTTATAAGTGCAAACACACAAACAGCATCTTCTCTCCAACATAAACAGCATCTTCTCTCAAACACCAAAACCTCTTCTCTCTATCCTCATTGTTCAACAGAAGAAGGAGACAGAGAGAAAGAAAGCTATGGAGTTAACACTTAATTCGTCGAGTTCTCTCATCAAACGTAAAGATGCCAAGAGTTCAAGAAACCAAGAAAGTTCCCCAAAAATGTCTTTTGCGAAGATGAAGCCACCAACATATCAATTCCAAGGAAAGAACACGGTTAAGGAAATGAAGTTCACTCACGAGAAGACCTTCACACCAGAAAATGAAACCGCCGAGAGATGGGAGAAGCTCCACGTTCTCTCATACCCACACCCGAGGAGCGACGCTAGTGTTCCGGTGTTTGTCATGTTACCGCTGGACACGGTGACAATGTCAGGGCACTTGAACAAACCAAGAGCCATGAACGCTAGTTTGATGGCTCTGAAAGGAGCTGGTGTGGAAGGTGTAATGGTTGATGCTTGGTGGGGATTGGTCGAGAAAGATGGACCTATGAAGTATAATTGGGAAGGCTATGCCGAGCTTATACAGATGGTTCAGAAGCACGGTCTCAAACTCCAGGTTGTTATGTCTTTTCATCAATGTGGAGGAAACGTCGGAGACTCTTGCAGGTAATAAAAGCAAAATCTTAGTTTCCCTTATTGAATAAGATCTATGCCTCTCTCTCTCTCTCTCATTTTCAAGCTTAGCTAATGGTTCTCTCTTTTTTAAAATAAAAAATATAGTATCCCCTTGCCCCCATGGGTTCTTGAAGAAATCAGCAAGAACCCTGATCTTGTCTACACAGACAAATCTGGGAGAAGGAACCCTGAGTATATCTCCTTGGGATGTGATTCTGTGCCTGTCCTAAGAGGAAGAACACCTATCCAGGTCTACTCAGATTTTATGAGGAGCTTCCGTGAAAGATTCGACAGTTGCATAGGAGGAGTTATTGCGGTAAGCAGTGTTTGTTGTTAAACAAAATTGTGTCATATATAAAAGACATGAACAATCCTAAGCAAATTGTATCATCATGTATTGCAGGAAATTCAAGTGGGAATGGGACCTTGTGGAGAATTGAGATACCCATCATACCCTGAGAGCAATGGAACTTGGAGATTCCCCGGAATCGGAGAGTTCCAGTGCTACGACAAGGTATGTTAAGCTAAGCAGAAAAAAGGCCTTAAGAACATTAGTATATGAATTGCTTGTAAGAAACGATGCTGATGATAACATGTTGATTGCAGTATATGAGATCGTCGCTTCAAGCATATGCTGAATCAGTCGGGAAAAGTAACTGGGGAACAAGTGGACCTCATGATGCCGGCGAGTACAAGAACCTACCAGAAGACACCGAGTTTTTCAGGAGAGACGGAACATGGAACAGCGAGTATGGAAAGTTTTTCATGGAATGGTACTCCGGGAAGCTACTAGAACACGGAGACACACTCCTAGCTTCAGCTAAAGGGATCTTTCAAGGAACCGGGGCAAAGCTATCAGGGAAAGTAGCCGGGATCCACTGGCACTACAACACCAGGTCACACGCTGCTGAGCTAACCGCTGGATATTACAACACGAGAAACCACGATGGATATCTCCCAATAGCCAAGATGTTCAACAAACATGGTGTTGTGCTCAACTTCACCTGCATGGAGATGAAAGATGGGGAACAACCCCAGCACGCCAACTGCTCCCCTGAAGGCCTGGTCAAGCAGGTGCAGAACGCCACAAGGCAGGCTGGAACCGAGCTAGCAGGGGAGAACGCGCTGGAGAGATACGACTCCAGCGCGTTCGGGCAAGTGGTTGCAACTAATAGGTCAGATTCCGGAAACGGGTTAACAGCTTTTACTTACCTAAGAATGAACAAGAGGTTATTTGAGGGTCAAAATTGGCAGCAGTTAGTGGAGTTTGTTAAGAACATGAAGGAAGGTGGTCATGGAAGGAGACTCTCAGAAGAAGACACAACAGGAAGTGACCTTTATGTTGGATTTGTCCGAGGCAAAGTCGCTGAGAAGAAGCTTGAGGAGGCTTCTCTTGTGTAATGATATTTCCCACATAGTTACATATGACCAGTATATTATTAAGTGTTAAAGCTTTAGATGAGCATAAATCTGGGTCAGAGCAAAGAGAAGCAACAAGAAGATGATGCACACTTAGAATTGCAGTTAGAACTGTCTATCCTATGGAATTTTCATTCATTCTACATCTTCAAGCTCTATCTATCTCAAATAATATGCATTTTTCTTACAATCCTGTCTCAATCAAATATTCAATTCTCGATTTTACAAGTATACAATAATTGAATTGTCTGGTAATTATCCATACTTGAATTAACTCGAACTCGAAGGAGTTTAGAACACATCGTTTCTCAGACCAGAGTGCAAGTAATTATCATGAAGATTCTGGGAATCGTAAGTAACATGAATGGAAATTCACAGGATAAAATAAAAAGTGAATCTGAAACTAACATAAGCAACGGGTAACGAAGAACTAAGTTCAAAGCGCCTGGGCAATCGGAATGTGTAGTTCATGAATGGGGAGGAGAAGCAGAGTCGGGACCTCCACGACGGAGTTCTTCAATCAAACCGCCGAGCTCTTTTCTCGCGGATTCTCTACCGAACATGAATCCATACCTTGAGAGGGGCAAAAAGACAGTATAAACCCTAAATAGAGGAAATGGAAGTAGGAGAACCGAGAAATTAAGAAGAAGAGCTTAGAGAGATTAAAGGAACAAATCATTCACCAGCAAGAGACGGCGGAGAATACGCCGGAAATTGCCACTGTTTGGATCAACGAGAAGGATTTCTGCATTTTTTTATATTATTAGTTTGGGGAATTTTCCGGTCATTTCTCTTGAGGTTTAAAAGGGAAGAGAACTCGAGAGCGGGAGAGAATCACCTGATGGGCCTCAGCTAAAACTTGAGCTCGGCCCATTTAAAACCTTAAACCTTAAATTTTTGTTTTTATTACAAATCGTATGGTTTTCAGTCGTTCAATCGCCTAAAGGTTACATTTCATTATGATTTTTTCACAAGAAAATTAATAACAAAGCAATGCTGAAACAAAACGACAGTGCAGCAGTGACTGAGTTTACAGCCCATAATCAGAAGGAAATGAGGCCCAAGCCAAATCAGGAACTCAATACAAATGAGCCAATGAAAGAACAACGGTCAACTGCTATTAAAGCTGGAAACAGAGGAGCGGATGTGATTGAGGAAGGTGCAAGGAAATTGCCAAAAGATGAGTCTACAGTAAAGCAATAACGACACAAAACAAATATGACATCCTGGCAATGATTAGAGAAGATGTAAGAGTGTGACAAGTGACTTTGTGTTGTCCATTAGGGGTAAGAGAGTCGCTTGTATGCCTTTAGTATAAATAGAGCTACTCACCTCGTGCTTGGTTTGACAAGTTTAGCTCTTACCTGCTGGAATTTGGTTTTGTGTGCAGTCTTAAAGATCCCTCGCTCTTTGTCTAACATGAAGAACAAAGATGTGATTATGCTGCTGCTCTATATAGATGACATGTTGGCTTTGATTGGTAACAATGTAATGCAGTGTTACAAATTGTAATGCACATAGTGTAACCAATCATATGAACATTACACTTGTGATAGTACAAAATGTGTGTTACAAAAAAAGAAGCATTATAACCAAAAAGTGATGGTACAAAAGGCAAAACAATGGTTCAATTGTAATGCTACTTTTTAATAATAGTACAAAAATGAATGATGGTACAAAGAGTAAACAACAAGGCCATAGTTTTTTTTTTCATCTTCCTTTTTTACATGTTCTTGAAATGATTTGGGGATTATAGTGTAAGTTGATTTTTTTTGGGGGTAAAATTATTATTAAAAGTGGCTGTTTTTTATAACTAACAAAAAATATTTAATATATCACTGAAAACTTTTACAAACAAAAACATAATTCTCATTTATTAGCTATATATGTTCAATTTTATTTGAAGGGTTAGTTTCATTAGTAAAGTGACAATATTTTTAGAGCTGATGTTTGTTAATAATGTGTATTAATCATTTAAATGTGAATTCATGATAATTGTGGAATATCATTAATTTGTTAACATCAAATATATTCACAAATTCTATAACAACATTTAGTTTAATATATCTTAATTTCAGTTCTTTTTAACTGAAAGCATTTAAAATATTATATGTAGTTCTAATTTAGGATTCTTAGACATTTAAATAGACTTTGATAATTGTAATTACACAAGAAGAAGGAAGAAAAATAATGAGCAGAGGGCATAGATACAAAAAAAGATTAAAAATATTTGATTTTCACGTTAAATTTTAAGACATGAGATTGGTGTATTGTATTTTAATGAGATACATTTGAAAATTTATATTAAATTTTAATACATAGATATCAAATTTTTAAAACATTTATGTCTTTGAAGAATTTGTAGTTTACAAGTAATATTTTTTTTGCTAAGTGAAGTAATTTTATAACAAAAAAAGTTGTGTTATATTGTTAGATACTACTTTAATTTTGAATACTTCACTAATTTATATTTCCATTTTAAAATACAACTATTTGTACTATCACAATGTCACCAATCATATTTTAAATATGTACTATCATTTTGTACTATCTCTTTTTGTACTGCTATATTTCGTACCACTGTTTTTCTTACAGTCATCTTTCGTACCACTGAAAATTCTGTAATACACCACTATTTACAACGTCACCAATCGGACCGGTTGATTACAGGAAATGATTCAACAGTGATGGAAAAGTTTCAGGCTGATTTCAGTTCACAGTTCCGGATGAAAGATCTTGGTCAGATGTCTTACTTTCTTGGGATTCAAGCTCAACATCATCTAAAGGGGCTATTCTTATCGCAACAACAATATGTAGAAGACTTGTTAGCTGTAGCTGCTATGTCTGATTGTGCTTCTATTCCTACACCACTACCGTTACAGCCTCACCGAGTCTCTCATCAAACTGAGTTCTTTGAGAATCCTAAGTATTTTCGGAGTTTAGCTGGGAAACTACAGTATCTCATTGTTGGACTTTGATTTCCCTCCATAAATTCGGCCCATAAGGCCCATCACCTAAGCCCTAAGGTCAAGATAAGTCCACCTAGGTCCAGTAAAATGACTTCAAGCCCACCAAGTATCTTTGTCCAAAATCCAGCTGTTTACTGTCCGAGCTACTTGTGAAGACGAAGTCGAGCTCTAGCTCGACGGAGTCAAGTCTGCTAGCTGATCTTGAACGAGTCAGACGAGAATCTCGTTTCGACCGTTCAGATCCGGAAATAGCGGGATCGGTAGTTGCACGTGGACGAGATACGCGGAGGAGGTTGCGATCTACTTCGGAGCTATAAAAGGAGGACAATTCTTGATCACAAGGCACAAGTTTTTCCTTCCATTTTCTGTAGAAAACAATCTTGATCCTTCTCACTTCTTTGTCTTGAGATATTCTGACATTTTTTCTCTACGATCTTATCCTTGATCTTCGAGATAACCCTAGAAAGCACTGATCTTTCTAGCCGAAAATTTCTTCCGGCAGAAGTTTGGCGTAATCTCTACCTTCGGATCACTCTGATAACCTGAGATTTATCGTCATCTTCACACCCCTTTAGCTCTTTTCGTGGTCATTTCTCTTCAGAAAATGACTGGAAATAGAGAACAACTTACAATCGAACTACGTCCAGGCTTGATCCCTAAAATAGGGTACGTAGGCAGCCTGTTAACGAGCGCAGCCACCACCTCATTTCCATATCTTTTGCTTAGTCGAATCCTAGTGTTTTACATGGTCTTTTAGGCCGGTTTTGTAACCACTTTATTCGATTAACCTAAGTCCGATTTCGTCAAATACTCGTCTATGAATCATTCGACTTACATCAGAATATAACCTCTGATTCCACAGGAAATTTCTCCCTATAAAATACACATAAATTTTGAGTGTGATTTTCCGAACCCACACTCACGCTAACTAGACCATATCTCCAGTTTGCTGTTTACTGTATTTTCCAAAAGATGCATACTCCTACGGTTTCAGATTTCAATCTCTTGAAAAGAATCCTGAGATACATCAGAGGGACTATTACTATGCATGGGAGTCAATTTCAGCAGGAACTCTGATTTCACCTTGAGAGCTTATAGTGACAACAACTATGCAGGATGTCTTGTCACTAGAAGATCAACTGGAAGTTACAGTACTTACCTAGGCAGTAATCTTATCTCGTGGTCTTGCAAGAAACAAGTTACAGTTGCAAAGAGCTCCACCGAAGCTGAATATAGGGCTATGTTGGAGGATGGATCAGAAGTAACTTGGATTGGTGCGGTATTGAAAGAGCTCGGAGTTTCGTTGATGAAGACACCAGAACTCTACTGTGATAATCTGTCTGCAGTTTATTTGACAGCCAATCCTGCATTCCATGCTCGCTCCAAACATTTTGAAAATCACTTTCACTATGTTAGGGAACGTGTTTCTCTTGGTCTGCTTGAGGTTCAAATCTCTTCCCACAACAGCAGAATGGGAACTAGGGACACAAATATGTGCGTTGCTGCAGCCTTTTGATACGATAACCAACCTGATTTCAGATTCAACTTTCCCAACCTCAAACTTGTACTTTATGCAAGTGTACAAGATTGAGTATTGGCTGAAAGCACATGAGAACAGTGAGGTGGATGTTATTGTGGAGATGGTTAAAGCTATGAAAGAGAAATTTGATAAGTATTGGCATGAGTATAGCGAGATTCTTGCAATGGCGGCTGTTTGTGATCCTAGGTTTAAGTTATCGCTGCTAGAGTATTGTTTCACAAATCTGGATGAGAGTACTAGTCAACGGAAAGTGGAGAAAGTGCACGAAAAAATGAAACTGCTTTTCAAAGCTTATTCTAAGCCAGCAGACCAAAGCTCTCCACCAGCCAGAGAAAATGTACACAAATCAGTGGCTGCTGTTCTCGGAAAAGGTGTCATCAATCATGATGTAAGTGACTAAGTGTGTGTCTTATTATGTTTTTTGTTTTCATTTAAAAGGTCTTACACATGGTCTGTTTACATTGATGTAGGAGTTCCGCAACTTTCACAAGAAAAATGTAAGTGCTAGTGGAAAATCTGCTTTGGATTCATACTTAGAAGAATCACTAGTAGACATGAATATGTTTCCAGAGTTGGATGTCTTGGATTTTTGGAAAAAAAATTCTGATCGCTTTGGAGAGTTATCTAAGATGGCTTGTGATCTTTTAAGCATACCTATCACAACAGTAGCATCTGAATCATCCTTTAGCATTGGATCACGTGTTTTGAATAAGTACAGAAGTTGTCTCCTCCCAAAAAATGTTCAAGCCTTGATATGTGCTCGTAATTGGCTTAGAGGTTTCAAAGCATATGATGACAATGGTAAGTGGTAACACATATAATCTGTAATATTTCAGTTATGATTTTATAGTTATATTTACTGGTATTTTAATGCTTTGTTGGACAGAACTAGAAGCTAATGAGTCGGATGAGCACTTGCCAAGTGAGTCGTTTGCTTCAACTACGTAAGTAATACTCTACTCTTTGTTAAGAATACTTTATGCTTATGTTATAATTAAGTGACACTTGCACATAGTTTGTATATATTTGATTTGACTTCGTAAGTAACAGTTGCATATGGTTTGTATATATTTGCAGGTGAAGTAATAAATTCTGTGCGACAACAAAGTGACAAGAAGAAGTCAAGAACTCTTTGTAATTTGTTTTTCTTTTAAGTTTAAATTCTGTTTGTCGAACAATACCTTATTTTAAATTTATGGTTTTTCTGTAACCTTACAATCTATGTCTTGCTCTCCAGAATTATCTGTTAAGATTTTAATTTTAGGAGGTTTAATTTTTTTTTTTTTGTCATATATGGCCGGTGGCGGGTTACCTGCGGGACCCGCTTGATTAATGCGGGGTGGGTGCGGGTAATCAATACACACTTATCGGGTTATGCAGGTTTTTTTCTGAGAGACCAATTTGACCCGAACCCGCGGCGGGGCGGGTCAGGCGGGGCGGATCTGACCCGCTTGACAGGCCTAATCACGGCCACCATAGATCTCCTCGGCCTAACTAAGAGATCTACTCGGCCATGATGCAAACAAGCAAGCAAAGCATGATTGTAAACATTATGCAAGTATTAAAAGAGATAAAGGGATGAAGAAAGCTTCTCTATTGATGAACAAAGTCGGATTCTCCCTTGAAAACTCTTAAATCAAGTTTATAGAAATGGAAACAATGAAAAAGAAAGAACAAGAGTTGAGCGGCGCCTCCTTCTTCTTGGACGATCTCCTAGGGCTTCTCTCCTCGGCTCTCTTCTCTGGACTCTCTTCTCACAAACACACACGCTCATCTCTTCTTCAGCGGCTAAAAACATGTATATATGGGCGAAGTCGCGTAGGGTTTTCTTCATGCCGGAAAAGGAAAGTTTCCCATGAGCCGAGCCTTCTTCTCCACGTCGTGTATGGGCCGACATTGTACCAAGGAAAGCTCCAAACATTAGCCAGGCCTCTTCTCTATTCGATCAAGGCCTTTGGCGCTGCTGCTCGGGCCATTAGACACTCCAAATCCTCCATGGGCTTCGTTTGCTCGCTTACCGGACATGTCTCGGTAGAAAATAAGTGGCCTCATAGTTGATCCAAATGGCTTCATTCCACTTCGACGTGATGCATGACTCAAGTATCTATCTTTCCATATCAAGATCGTAACTTTTGGACGTCGGGAACTCCTCCGCGCGCGGCCAAACTTCCGAAGCTTCGTTCTGCGCGCTAGCGAGAACTAACACTTGGAGATAAAATGATGTTCTTGACTTGGAAACTTGCATGGATCTTGGTTTAGGCTCTTTTACTCCTTTTTGCATCCTTTTTGATTTTCACCTACAAAGACTTCAAATCCCACAAATACAAGAAAACTACCTCTAAAGGCAAAGAATCTTGCAAAAACCGTTTGAAAACATAAAATTATATAGTAAAATCATGTAAAATATGGTGATATCAACTCCCCCAGACTTAGCCTTTTGCTTGTCCCCAAGCAAACTAAGCAGGAAAAGAGGTTTGAAAACGTGAGAACTCTCAAATCTTTTGGAAATCCAAATTGACTTATGCTTTAGTAATCCACATGAAACAGCATTGGCAAATTTTGAATTAAGAACAAAGTACATACCATGAGTTTTGCGATTTTCCCAAAGCGGTCCACCTCTCCTTGGACAATCCAATTCGCCACCCTTGACTCCTTTCATTTCTAAAGGTGTGGTCTCAACTAGGGAGTATCGATCAGCCGGCTTTTAGACTCTTACTCATCCCCTTGTTTGGCACTTGTCTTTTTACTCCATGTTTCTCCTCTCTCTCTTCTCACTTCTTCAAGTTGATTCATCCCTTTTTTAGGGTAGCGAAGTATTTTTTTATTCAACTCCTTCTCTTTATTATAGAGGTTTTGCTTGGACCTTCCACAGACGCGAGTATTGATGGTGTTTGCCACCGAATCCCCGGTTGCTTGGATCATAGGCCTTCCATAGACGCGAGTATTGATGGTGTTTGCCACCGAATCCCCGGTTACTTGGACCTTACGCTTTTTCTTTAAATTGAAGGGGAGAGAGAGGGAAGCACGAACTCACTAAGACTTTTTCATTTGATGGAGAGGATGAGGAATCATGCCATTTGTATGCCAAGCCCCTAGCTGAGAAGATTAAGTTCATTAAGGGCGGAGTCAAAGATGGATCCTTCTCAAGTCTTTAGAGATGTAGGCGTTTTTGGTAGATCGATCGACTCATAGGTGTTGATTGGTTCACCCGCTACTACCCCAAACGCGCGTTTGCGGGTAGTAGCGGTTATTGGCGTTTGACAACAATCACCACAAACGCTTTATACCGCTCAAACCGCTCAAGATCCCTCAACATCCCTCAAAATCAAAAGCTCCTTCCAGCAGCGTTTGCGGTTGCGGGTGGATAATTAAAAAAAAAAAAAAAAAAACACAAACTTATATAAAATCCGAAAATAAATAATAATCTTTATTAAAAAATAAGATTTGGATAATAAAATCACAATATAAATAAAAAAAAATTAGTACTTTTAGTCAATATTCATTAAAATCATATCATACTTATATATTTATAAGTTCTACAAATCAAAATTCTCTTGATAAATATTCTTTTCATACTAATACATATATATCTAATAAATAAAATTGTAATATAAATTTAATTTTCACATTAAATATATATTTTGAAAATAAAATCACATTTTTATTTAAATTATAGAAATTAAAAAATAGACGTAAGTATTATACACATATTATTCTTTATAAAAAAATTATTTTTAATTATGTTGAACCATAAATTTAAAATTTTCATTATAATATAGTTTTGATATTTTTATAATTATATAATGTGTTTATATTATTAATTTATTGTTTAACCGCTATTGCATCCGCAAGTGAACCAGTCATAAGTATCCCGCAAACGCATCCATTTTCAATTGTTATGCCAGTCGTACAAACCGCTTAATAACGCTACTAATCACAACCGCCCGCTTCCGCAAACTCCCGCACCCGCAACCGCAACCGCAGCGATTAAACCAGTCAGGCCCATAGTGTACCTGTAGTAAGATGTATTGCCAAGAACTGCTCAATGGTCACTTAAACATTAGTACAACCATGGTTAGATCCAAGATAAGGTCATGATTCTCGACAAAAATTTTGACTCAATAAAAACGACTCGATAAAAGGGAAAAATGCAAATGAAAATGCCAAAATGAACAAACATGTTAGTAATCCCCCCAGACTTAACTTGCACCGTCCCGGTGAAATCAAATCGGATTAAGAGAGGCATAACATGAAGTTCAAATGAAAAATTGAAAAGAAAAAGGTTTAGGATGATGTTACCAAATGTCGACCAATTTATAATGAAGATCAGTTCCGGTTTGGGTCATTACACTTCTTTAGGCAATATTGGTCGGTGAGTTTTTAATTTCAGGCCTTGGTTCCGCCGGTTTGTGTTTTGGCCGAGATTGGTATATTCGGTCGGCCAAAATGTGGTGCTGTGAACTACAGAACAAACCGTAAAATTTCATGACCTATATTGAAATTTCATCGACCAACCTGGTATTTTATGGCCTCTGGTGAAGTTTGGGAGCATTTGAACGAGCGGATTGAGACTTCCTTCACAAAATGGTCAATTCGGCTCCGGGAAGGAGTTTCCTTGGCCATTGAAGTTTGGCTCGTTCCTTTTCGTTTCTTCCTGCATAAAAGTGTTAGTTAAGCTCAAAGGAAGAGTTTTCCAACCGGTTGGCGCGCCTATGCCGTGATTTGGTTTGTCGGCCATATTGCTTGCGCGCCATCGGCCAGAATGTGGCTCCGTCGTCTATCTCATGACCGTGATGATTTCTCCGTCCTATCTTTTGGATTTGCCGACCAAAATGTGATTTTATGGTCGCCTGTGAAGTTTGGTGGACTTCGGTCACGCCGTTTAGGAGTTGGCCGTGAATGGTTCTCCTTGTGCGCGTCATGGCCGAGAGAAATGTGCCGGATTGAATTTCTTCAAATCCACTCGGGCCAATTGAGATTTTCTTCGACCGAATTGTTTTAATAACCCTCCTGTGTCATTCCCAAGTGGTGGCCGCCTTGTTTCGTGTGATGGCCTGTGTATCTCCTTTTAACCTCCCTTTGGCCGCCATATGCATGTTGGTTTTGAGGTGGTTATAGGTTTCTATTCTCCTTCCTGTCAAATGGTTAACTCCTTGCAAAACACTTGAAATCATGATTAGATGGTTTCTCAGATTGTGATCCTCAAGTGACCAACTTGAAGTTCACAATCCAAGAGATTAAAGCACAAACTATAAATTCTTATTTGGTCTTGGTTAATGATCCAAATTTCAAACTATAGTTCAATCTCTTGTAATTTCAGTGAGAAATGAGTTTGACAAGTGATTATGTATTCTTTCCAATCATCAAAATGTAAATCAAGTTAAACCATGAAATATATGTGATAAAGTGCAATGGTTTAAACGATTTTTCAAGTGAAGATCAAGAGTGATTAGAAATGAATACTAGGTGAGATTTACTTACCTTTTGAAGAGAAACGCCTTGTACAAGGGTGGGCTCATTGGGTGGGACACTTTCATTGTTTGGTCTCCTTTGGGTCTTCATCCTAAGAAAATATTTTTGTATTTTTGTTTGATTTTTGAAAAACTCCTGCAAAATAGAAATAGATAGTTAAAAACCATATGGGTTGCCTCCCATAAAGCGCTTTTGTTTTAAGTCATTTAGCTTGACTCCTTTTCTTTCTTTAATCGTGGTGAAGAGTGGCTGAAGGGCAAAGGATCCCTTTAGCTTCTCCATTCTCCGGTTCAGTGGGCTCTTGTGGTGGTGTTGTCACGCCATGATCATCTCTCACATCATCCTTGAAAACCAATGCCTTGGGGAAAAGCTTCATAGTTCTCTCAAGCTTCTCTTCAATGGATTGGTCACCTTTAAGCTCCGAATCTTTTGGTGTAAAGATTCTTATCTTGTGAAAGAGATTAGGTGCACCATTAGTCTCCTCTTCAGCTCCATACTCGTCAAAGGTTGGAAGTAGATGGAGTTATATTTTTAAAGACATTTTCATGCCTCGGCTCCAATGTTTTCTTCTTCTCCTTTGGTTTTGGGTAGCGCTCACTCTCTCTTCTTTCTCCATGCAGCATGGCTTCTTTCTTAGGCATGAGAGTGGCTTCTTCTGGTGGTAGCTTGGTCGCACTTGGCACTGACCTGAAATTTACACTTGGGAAAAAGATATCTTGCCGGATGTGGCCAAAAGATAGATGATTCCCAAAATAGTTTAGGACCGCTCCAGCTGTAGCAAGGAATGGGGTTCCAAGAATCAGTTGATTCCTCTTTGAGCCTTCCCAAATCATGACTTGAAAGTCAGTTGGGACGATCGACCTCCTATTTCCATCATGACATCTTCAAGCATTCCATAAGGTTCCATGCACGATAGATCCGCGAACTCAACTCTTATCTTGGGGCTCTTGAATTCCTTGAATCCCAAGTCTTTTGCAAGTGCAAGAGACATTAGATTAACATTAGCACCAGTATCACATAGGCAATCATGGAGTTGAATGCCATTGATACTTGAAGTTATCACAAACTTCCCCGGATCTTCTTGTTTTTGTAGTGGCTTGCCTTCAAGTCTTCTCTTGTAAGCTCTTCTTGATTCCCAACTGTATCTCTCCGGTTTGTGCCTCTCCTTAGGCTCATTTTCTTCTTCTTCCCCTTGAGATAGTGTAGGAACAATTGGCTATCTATAGATGAGACAACACTACAAAATTTTTGAGTGTTTACCTCATTTTGTTTCTTGGCCGCCTCGGCTGTTTGAGCGATTTGCACCTCAAGCTTTTGAACGTGAGTGAGAGAGACCCATACTTGCTGCTAAGATCACGAAACATGATGTAGGAGATATTTAGGAGATTTTCACAAATTTCCTTTTTCTCTAATTATGTTTTTCCTTTTGGGTTTTTGATATTTTCTAGGGTTTTGTTTTCCTATATAAACACTTTTAAGTTGTAGCCATGAGGCATACCATATCTTATTATTCTAATTAATCAAAGTAGAGAACTTTTCTCTAATCTGGTGGATTTCCAGAGTTTTCTCTTCAAATTCATGCTTGTGAACTTGAATTCAATCTAGGTTTGGTGCTTGCTATTCCTAGGGTTTTCCGACTGCGTCAAAACATGTGATCAAGCTTCTCATATAGGTTCTTGGTGATCAATCTCTGCTCCTCCATGTATTTCTTCAAGGCCACGTCAACCTTCTCTCCGGTTTGGGTTGGATTTGTTTCTTGAGAAAAAGTGAATGGTTGCTTCACTTGGTACATCCCTCTTGGATAGACTTGTTGTGGCTTGGATTGGTATTGGCCTCCTTGATACGCTCCTTGATTGGGGTAGACTTGGTCATTTGGATTCTCCACATTGTTGCTCCGGTATGATAGGTTTGGATGCGCGCGAAATGGTGGATTGAATCCTCTATTCCCATAGTTTCCTCCAATGTAGTTGACTTCCTCTAGATTCTCTTCAGTGCCATCTCTCATGAAATCCATAAGAGTGTCTTCATTTGTGGCTAGGGCATCTTCAATGGCGTGAACTCCTTGTCGGCTTTTAAGTAGTTGTGAGACCATGTTCCTTAGCTCCGAGATTTGAGCTGATTCTGATGAGCTCGTGGTCTTCACGCTTCTATTGTAGTCAGGGCATGCATTGGCATCACTAGCAGCGAGATTCTCAATCAAAAGCTTTGCCTCCGGCACCGACTTGGTCATGAAATTACCATTGCTCGCGGTATCGAGAGAAAGCTTGTATTTATGATCAATCCCATTGTAAAAGATGTTCCAAAGGTTACCTTCTGAAAAGCCATGGTTAGGGCAGCTTCTTGTGTACTCCTTGAATCTCTCCAAAGCTTCATAGAATGACTCCATTGAATCTTGCTTGAAACCAGAAATCTTGCTCCTTATAGAGTTGGATCTTTGCTTAGTGTAGAATTGGTTCAAGAAAGCTCCCTTGTATTCATTCCATGTTGTAATGGACTGAGGTGGTAAAGATTTTACCCATCTTAGCGCCTTGTCACTTAGAGAAAAAGTGAATAGCTTGCACTTGAAGTAATCCGGCGATACTCCATTAACACGAGTTGTGCTACATATCTCCTCAAAGGTGTCGACGTGATCAAGAGGATGCTCAGTGGGCAAACCATGGAATTGGTTTTGCTTCACCAAGGCAATGATCTGCGGTTTGATCTCAAAATCGTTCCTTGGAGGTAGAGGCGGTCGGATTGGATTCCGATCCATAAAGAAAGCATCGGAAGAATCAAAGTCTCCCATAGTTTGGTGCCTTGGATGCTGCGCGTTTGGCACTCTCCTTGGAGGTGCGTGAGGTTGGTCTTGAGGCATCCCTTGGTTGTCACCGTGACGATGATGTCCATTTGCAAACGCCGGTGGTGGTCGCGGCGGGTTAAGAGGTGGCTGTAGCGGCTCAGCTGCATCGGGCGCGTTCGGATTGGGTGGAGGAACGTCTCTGGCCGGTGCTGGCTGGTCAGCTCTAGCTTCTGCTGGATTAGGAGGATCATTGGCTCTCCTCTCTTGGTCGGGCGGGTTGTTGGCCTATTTGGCGCGCCTTCTCCGCCTGGATTCATTCTTTCTCTCCTTAGTCGCCTAAGTGTGCGCTCAAGTTGGTCAATGTCAAGATCTTCTTCAATGGTTGTATTTGGATTGGACCTTCTTGTCATGCACCTTAGAAACACACAAAGAGAGAGTTAAGTAAAATTTTTATGAGTTTTTAAGATTTTATGAAAAACAAAAACAAAGAAAAGTGAAAGATGAGATGAGCTAGTCTTGAAATCAATCAAGAGGTGTGAAGGAAAAGCAACTCCTCCCCGGCAACGGCGCCAGAAAGCTTGATGGCGGGTTTAGATTGCCTCAAATTTTCACAATTTATAAACCCAACTAATGAGCTGCAAGTGCACAGCCGTGTTGTAGTCGGGGTCGAACACGAGGAGGAAGTGTTCTCGCTTAACACCTTGTGAGATTGGTTTGTAGCTAGCTCGCAATATGGATGGTTTTGGACCTAGAATGAGAAAGCAAAACAAAAGATGTGAGTGAGGTTGTAAACAATTTAAAACAAGAGTTAGGCAAAGGACAATCATATGGAGCAATGATGAAAAGATAGTTGCATGGGATGTGTGTAGAGCCGTCTTGAACATGAATCACTAGTGTATGGTCTTTCCACTGTCGTGGCTCCAACCACTATGTTTAAAACAACCTAATATACTCAGCTTTCGTTGGCTATTAGAATTGCAAACATGCATTAAAGGTGATCAAGATTCAATTGTTCACAATAAACCATAACTCAGCTTTCGTTGGCTATGATCTATTGCTCACCAAATACTAGTTTTGAGATCTAGATTCAGCACTGTCGTGGTTCTATTTCTCTAAGATCAGATTACTAGATGTACGGTAGAGTAATCATGCATTAAGCTCAAGTAAAGGTGAAGATCCATAAGATAAATCCCAATAAGTTGCAACACAATCAAATCATCACGGCCACCATAGATCTCCTCGGCCTAACTAAGAGATCTACTCGGCCATGATGCAAACAAGCAAGCAAAGCATGATTGTAAACATTATGCAAGTATTAAAAGAGATAAAGGGATGAAGAAAGCTTCTCTATTGATGAACAAAGTCGGATTCTCCCTTGAAAACTCTTAAAATCAAGTTTATAGAAATGGAAACAATGAAAAAGAAAGAACAAGAGTTGAGCGGCGCCTCCTTCTTCTTGGACGATCTCCTAGGGCTTCTCTCCTCTCTCTCTTCTCAACTCTTTCACACACACTCGATCTCTTCTTCAGCGGCTAAAAACATGTATATATGGGCGAAGTCGCGTAGGGTTTTCTTCATGCCGGAAAAGGAAAGTTTCCCATGAGCAAAGCCTTCTTCTCCACGTCGTGTATGGGCCGACATTGTACCAAGGAAAGCTCCAAACATTAGCCAGGCCTCTTCTCTATTCGATCAAGGCCTTTGGCGCTGCTGCTCGGGCCATTAGACACTCCAAATCCTCCATGGGCTTCGTTTGCTCGCTTACCGGACATGTCTCGGTAGAAAATAAGTTCCGGCCTCATAGTTGATCCAAATGGCTTCATTCCACTTCGACGTGATGCATGACTCAAGTATCTATCTTTCCATATCAAGATCGTAACTTTTGGACGTCGGGAACTCCTCCGCGCGCGGCCAAACTTCCGAAGCTTCGTTCTGCGCGCTAGCGAGAACTAACACTTGGAGATAAAATGATCTTCTTGACTTGGAAACTTGCATGGATCTTGATTTAGGGCTCTTTTACTCCTTTTTGCATCCTTTTTGATGGTTTCACCTACAAAGACTTCAAATCCCACAAATACAAGAAAACTACCTCTAAAGGCAAAGAATCTTGCAAAAACCGTTTGAAAACATAATAGTTATATAGTAAAATCATGTAAAATATGGTGATATCAGCATCCAAGTGGTTAACTATGTCACAAATATCATCTACTATCGTCCACGAAACTACATCCATATGGATATTCATCTATGTATCAAATATCATAGACAAATTTCAATACAAATATATCCATAGACAGTTTTGAAGAGTATTTATACGTTTCTCCATGCTTACTTATCCAACAATTAGTATATATTTGCTAGTTTGTTATCTTGGTTCATCAACTGATTCCTTAATAAACGTATCTGTTTATGCTAGTTTTGTCCATGCAACCGCGTCCATGTAGATAGTTATTCATTTCTTAGTATAGTACACTAATTTCATCCACTGATTTTTGCATAACTGCATCTATTTATGTGTTCTATGTCACAACTATCATCTATTTATTATTTAATAAATATATGTCCATACAAGTGTTGTCCATACTAGTGTTGTTAACACACATTGCTTACTCTTCAACAACCTATGTACAGTTTTAACCAGAAAGTTGGAAGCAAAGATAAAGTAAACCTATATTGCTTGCTCCATACCCAGCTAGCTTAGTTTTGAAGCTAAGGTAAAAAAGCTTAGTATAAATGACGACCCCGCATTTCTTTCTATTTACCGATATATACTATTCGTTCCCACTTGATCCTTAAGTTTAGTTTAATTAATGTGATTAATTAAATCTCTCGTCAGTAACCAGAGAGTATTATTTTCTAAGATACCATAGGACTCTCTCTTATTATATAACTATGTTTTTAACCCGCGCTACGTGCATATTTGTTGTTAATAGTTTTATTAAATTCATTAATAACTTTAAATTTATCAAATTTTAATGGATGTTCAATGTTTTTTAATGTATTTTAAAAATAATTTATTATTTTCTCCTTCTTGTATTTATTTATAAGATTATAGATTTTATTAAATTATAAAATAAGCAATTGAAAACAAAAAAATGTGGATTACATTTGATTTTGACTTCAATTCATAGATAATTTTTGCAACTATCCAATAATTTTATCAAATTAAAATACTAAGTTATTTAATTTCAATGTTTCTCTATTTTTGTAATCTTCTAAGAGAATTTTGTAAGAACCTTTTAAACGGTTAAGAAATTTTGATAGTTACTTTCATAATTGTCAACTACCTACAAAAATTATTATTATTATTATTTTTTTGTCAACAGCCTCTAATTCTACAACTCATGAATCCAAGTTGGTAAAACATAGTTATATAATATACATTAGTAGGTAGAGTTCGAGCACTTCGTGCTAACCTGTCTGTCTTCATGTTATTCGTCCTTGATATATGCACAACGAAAAAGGATGTGAACCTCATTTTACATCTACCAATCTCTTCCAGTTGAATTGCAAAAGTCGGCTACTCGTCTGGTTTAGACACCATCTTTATCACGTCAGAGCAATCCGTCTCGAACACCATGTTTAAGTTGTTATCACTACAAGAAAATCGATCTTGCCACTACAAAAAATGTCGCAAAGTAGTCGAAAATACACGTTTTGAAACTATTTCACGACTACAAAATAGTCGCAAATCACTCGTCGCAAAGCCACGTAGTCGCTTCTTAGTCGCACATTTGAAACCAAAGTGCGACTACAATGTAATCTTATTTTTGCTACTATTGAGAGACTCCGCGTTAAATATTACAACGAGTATACGATAATCTCAAAAGAGTTGCTCAATTAGTGGCAATGAAGTGCAACAGTTGCTCAAAGTGCAACGAATTTTAGACTTCTTTAGTAGTGATAAAACAGTCGTCATATAATCGTTAAGTTTTGGGACTGATTAAAGACTCCTTTGGATGTGGTCGCAAAAATGTGACTAATTTTACGACTTGTTTGCGACTGCTATATATATATATATATATATATAGATTCATATATGATTTCATAATTTTATATTGACCGTAGTCGCAAAAAAGTGGTAAATATGTGTGACTACTATGCGACTTCTTTGAAATATGCAGTGGCTAAGTTGTTGCTTATATTTTATACATTTTGGTGACTAATTAGTTGTTTCTAATTTAAGTAGTCAAATAGATTTATAAAAAAAATTAGTTTTAAAGAATGCTAAAACAAAAATTTAGAAACTACTTCCTTTGTTTCATATTATAAGTCCCAAATTATAAGCAGTTTGGGTAAATGTATCTGAAAAAAAAGTGGATGTATCTGGATCCAGATACAGATACATATACCCAAACTGCTTATAATATGGGACAGAGGGAGTACTAAACATGTATTAAAAATCTACAAAGGAAAATCATGTCTACATTCAAAACACAAAACATGTGCACAACAAACATCAATTTACATTCCAACCAAGTTATTGTTTCCAATATAAACAACCAAAACTGTGGGTGCTGAAAACGACACTCGAAATTTATAGGTTTTGCAAGGAAGAAACTGATATACCTCTATTTTACATGCTTTTTATATGGTTTTACTATGCTTTTCATAAGGTTTTTAATGGGTTTATGATCTAATAAGGTAGTTTTTATGGATTTATAGTATTTAAAATCTAAACAGGTCAAAAGATGCATTTTGGAGCAAAACACAGGACTTTAAGACAACTCCAGGACGTAACATCAACTTAAGAAGAGCCTTAAAAACAATCTACTCTATAGACTTCGTCAAATCAAGTTTTAAGCGATGCAAATATGAGTTATCTTTGCAATGCAACTGGAATCACTCAGTTTGGCCGAGTAGATTGAGAGATATCTCTATTTCTGTGAGACATATACGGAAGAGCTTATCGGACTGCATCAGTACATCAGACGAGCAGCAACGGCTTGGACACTTAAACTCAATGGATTTCAATGAAACTTGATACCAATATAGGCAGATGAGTTAGTGTTACAAAGCCGTTGGAAGTATGCAATTTGGACGAACAGTTAAGGAGATAGCACGTTTTACAGCCGCCCGAACGCGCTCGGCTGGACAGGAAACTTGTTGGCTTCGCTCGGGCATCACCAGGACCGACCCTCACGACCACAGCGTTCGACCCGGGAAGCATTGGCCCGCGGTCGACCAAGATTTACCACATGTCCCATGCAGCCGACCGAGCGCATCCATCGATCCGGGAAGCAATGAACCGCGCTCGACCCATTCCTCGACATGCAATCAAAGCATCCGGCCGAACGTACCGGTCGACCAGGAAGGCAAAGGACCACGGTCGACCCAGATCATCACCTCACGACCAAGACCATCACATCACGGCCGACCCCGACGGCCGACCACATCCCTTACACTGTCGACCCGATCTCTGCGAACAAGAAGCCCCCTTATGCAGTTTCGACTTTTCTCAGTCCGTTTAACCTGAACCGACTTGGGAAGACCTAGGGCACTATACATACTCTTTTTTAGTCTCTTTAGAGGGGCGAGCCGCATTATTTTTAGAGAGTTTTACATTCAATTCATTTTAGAGCTTCATGGGAGAAGATCTCACCTTTGTAACACACTAGAGGAGATTTCTAAACCCTTTTACTTTCTATCAAGTTTTATTATGAATTCTTCTTCATCTCTTTGCTTGATCTGTGTTACTATGTTTGAGTAATCTCCTTGTTGGGTTTAAGAGTTTTCAAGGGATTTTCATGGATTGATTGTTAGGTTGCTAGATTAGGGTTTTTATCATTAGTGTTCTTCATTTGAGTTTGTGCTTATTGCTTATAGCTTGATTGACCGCCTAAGCTACTGTTCTTAAGTAGATTTACTTTCTGACCGTTTGTTAAATCTCTTGAATCAACTTAGATGAGCAAGGCATAGTAACCTACGTAAGTAAAATTGCAAGGCTTTGTGAACTAGATCTGCGGAAGTAGAGCTATCAAATTTAGACTGTTCATGTTTAAGCTCTTGATTACCTATGGGAGTTGTGTGATTTTGTTAGACTTAGTAATTGGCACTGCGGGAGTAGGTCAACTACACTTATCAATTCAAGTTTTAGAACAAAACTATTGATTTTCCTATCTATTTGCTTGATCCAATCTATGAAACCTTGTGAATTATCTGATTTCTCTTATTGCTTTCATCTTATTTAGTTTAATTAGCGTTGAAACCGTGACAACAACAAACCTCCATACTTGAGTCCTAGCTTGATTCGAATCTCATAAACTCATAGTGTAGCTTATCTGGTCCTTGTGTTCGATAACCCATACTACCAACGATCCGTGCACTTGCGGTATCTAGTAATAGGATTGGGTAAAACTTAATCCACATCAAGTTTTTGGCGCCGTTGCCGGGGACCAATACAGTTGCTTTGAGTTTCGGATTAGAGCATGTATAATGGAGGGTGCTTATGGAGATGCTTAAAAGATTTTTTATTATTATAATTGTGTTAAGCACTTCTATTAAAACTTCTCTATTTTCTCTGCTCTAATGGGAGAAGCTTATTTTGGGGTGCTTAAAAAAAAATAACAGAAAGTCAAGACTTTGATATAGACTACGAATCCTCTTCACTATACAAAATCCTAATCTGTTTCTTGCTCGTCTTTCCCTTGAATATAGACATCAGCTCAGCCACAAGTTCTTGTCATCATGATTCCTCACATACTAGTCTAAGAAAGCTTCTTTACGCCAATACAGGAGACATCGGAGGAAGTTCGCTTCCGAGCAATCCTTTTACAATGAGAGCTTGAATTACGTCAGTCCTCTTCTCCAAGCTGTATCCAAGCACTGCAGGTGTTGAAACCACAGCCTTTAATGGCCAATTCATTTGCTTCACAAGAAACTCAGTGTTCTTCTTCATCGACTCTGCAGATAAACCCATGCACTGAGGATAACGCTTGAACATTGTCCCAAAGACAGATTTTCTGATCTTGTGAGCCACTCAAAAGATAACCCTCCTTGAAGGAGCTCCAAGCCAATCCATAACCTTCTTGTTCATGTCCCATTAGCCCTAGACCAAGATCACACTCACTTGATTGAGGCTTGGCCGAGTGTCTGGCGTAATAAAAAAAAAACACCTCAGAACCACTCGCTTTAGCACCCACTAGAGTTGGCTTTTGTGGCAAACATTGCGCTCTGTTAACTTCTCCATACACATATTTTCTGCCGAATCTCCAACTGCAAAATATAGTCTTTAATAAACTGTCCCTAGTACTTTCATCGAACACATTGTGTGCGCATAACACAACATAGTAGTAACCATCTACAATTATTCTTTACTTCCGTATGTCAGATTCCATAAGCACGACACTATTTGATATGGATAGCGAAGTCATCTACCTATGAAGCAAATACCAATCAGAATCAATCCCAATCTAAGATCATCTAAAATCTGAAAGATAGTAGTGAAACACGAAGACCATACTCTTTGAGAAGACGAGGAGAAATCCTGCCCCTGATGCATACCCGACGCCATGGAAGTAGTTACAACTTCACGCCACTTCTTCTGCAAGTTCTCCTCTTGATTTTTCGAATCACAATGAGCAAAGAGAGAAGAGAAGAGAGAGTGAAGAATGAAGAGAGAGTTATTTTTTCCCTCAATTTCAGTCTTCCAATCGCCGGGTGACACGTGGCTATAAGCAGAGACGCTTCACACGCCTAATCAAGCGTCGGAGCTACAATATTTGGGCATTTTTCATTTAAATTTAATCCTAAATTTAGCTAAGCGTCCTATTAAGCGTCTACCGTTATACGTGATCTTAGAAACTAGTGTAGGATAGCTTTAATTTTTGTTTTTATTTCTTGTTTCTGGTTTTTCTTGGTTTTTGTTTTTATTTTTTGGTTAATTTTCTCTATCTCTTTGTGTTTCAGGCTAGCTTAAGGAAAAGATAGGACCTCTTGGAGAAGATATCTCAATGGATCCTCAAAACCGCACCATTGGAGAGTTTGATTCACTAGACATCTTCTTCAGAAAACGCCAACCTATATGCCCATTACCACTTGCTGGAGAGTTTAAGATTAGCTCTAAACTCATTGCTTTGGTGGAGCAACATCAGTTTCGTGGGTTAGATGAGGAGAAGCCCATTGATCATATTGAGAAGTTTGAAGAAATTTGCAGTACAAGGAGATGTAGTGGAGTTTCTGAGGACTATTTCAAATGCACCTTATTCTCATTCTCTTTGGTTGACACAGCCTACAAATGGATGAAGGCCCATACTTATCCAAACATGGATTACTAGGTTCTCCACATTACTATGAGGACAAACATGAGTGAAACAGTATCAATCCAAGGGAGGAATATAAAATGGACAAAATTTGGGAACCGGAAGAGGTAAAGAGTCCGAAATGTACCTCTGTGCCTCCACATTGTGGAAACTCACTTGTAGTGTATAAGATGAACTAGATGGACCCATACTTATCCAACACATGGATTAATAGGTTCTACACATGACTATGATGACATCCATGAGTGAAAGAATATCAATCCAAGGGAGGAATATCAAATGGACCAAATTTGGGAACCGGAAGAGGTAAGGAGTACGAAATGTACCTCTGTGCCTCCATATTATGGATCCTCACTTGTAGTGTATAAGATGAACTAGATGGACCCATACTTATCCAACCGTGGATTAATAGGTTCTACACATGACTATGAGGACAAACATGAGTGAAACGGTCTCAATCCAAGGGAGGAACATCAAATGGACCTAATTTGGGAACCGGAAGAGGTAAGGAGTCCGAAATGTACCTTTGTGCCTCCACATTGTGGAAACTCACTTGTAGTGTATAAGATGAACTAGATGGACCCATACTTACCAAACATGGATTAATAGGTTCTACACATGACTATGAGGACAAACATGAGTGAAACGGTCTCAATCCAAGGGAGGAACATCAAATGGACCTAATTTGGGAACCGGAAGAGGTAAGGAGTCCGAAATGTACCTCTGTGACTCCACATTGTGGAAACTCACTTGTAGTGTATAAGATGAACTAGATGGATCCATACTTATCCAAACATGGATTAATAGGTTCTACACATGACTATGAGGACAAACATGAGTGAAACGGTGTCAATCCAAGGGAGGAACATCAAATGGACCTAATTTGGGAACCAGAAGAGGTAAGGAGTCCGAAATGTACCTCTGTGACTCCACATTGTGAAACTCACTTTTAGTGTATAAGATGAACTAGATGGACTCATACTAACCCAAACATGGATTAATAGGTTCTCCACATTACTATGTGGATAAACATGAGTGAAACGGTCTCAATCCAAGGGAGGAACATCAAATGGACCTAATTTGGGAACCGGAAGAGGTAAGAAGTCCGAAATGTACCTCTGTGCCTCCACTTTGTGGAAAGTCACTTGTAGTGTATAAGATGAACTAGATGGACCCATACTAACCCAAACATGGATTAATAGGTTCTACACATGACTATGAGAACAAACATGAGTGAAACTGTCTCAATCCAAGGGAGGAACATCAATGGACCTAATTTGGGAACCGGAAGAGGTAAGGAGTCCGAAATGTACCTCTGTGCTCCACATTGTGGAAACTCACTTGTAGTGTATAAGATGAACTAGATGGACCCATACTTACCCAAACATGGATTAATAGGTTCTACACATGACTATGAGGACAAACATGAGTGAAACGGTCTCAATCCAAGGGAGGAACATCAAATGGACCTAATTTGGGAACCGGAAGAGGTAAGGAGTCCGAAATGTACCTCTGTGCCTCCACATTGTGGAAACTCACTTGTAGTGTATAAGATGAACTAGATGGACCCATACTAACCCAAACATGGATTAATAGGTTCTACACATGACTATGAGGACAAACATGAGTGAAACGGTCTCAATCCAAGGGAGGAACATCAAATGGACCTAATTTGGGAACCGGAAGAGGTAAGGAGTCCGAAATGTACCTCTGTGACTCCACATTGTGGAAACTCACTTGTAGTGTATAAGATGAACTAGATGGACCCATACTTATCCAAACATGGATTAATAGGTTCTACACATGACTATGAGGACAAACATGAGTGAAACGGTCTCAATCCAAGGGAGGAACATCAAATGGACCTAATTTGGGAACCGGAAGAGGTAAGGAGTCCGAAATGTACCTCTGTGACTCCACATTGTGGAAACTCACTTGTAGTGTATAAGATGAACTAGATGGACCCATACACCAAATACTTTGATGATAACATATGCAGTTCCTAGATAAACATGACTAGGTTCAAATTTGGATCATAACTAAAATTGATATCTGAAAATAACTTGTGGCATACAATACCATTGATGTATACCTACATGAATACTTTTTCATTTTTTTTGCATGTAGATGGTTTTGGTAAGATTTATGTACATACCGTACGTGTAAGTGATTAAGGTGATTGTAGTATGATTGATAAATACCTCAAATTTGATTGAATACACATCCCATCACGTATAAGAATCTTTTGTAGTAATCAAAGATGGCAATCAAAAATCCCCCAAAAATCTTCAAAGATATATATTTTTTAGAAAAAAAGTATAGTATATTGTACAAATACGCCAAACAGAACCCTAAATCTGTTGCGGATGATTGGAACATTTAGCATTATAGTGTTGTGGTTTCACCACAGTTACAAAGTCACAAAATCATGCATGGGTTCGACCCATGTTCACCTCGGTGCGAGGTTTAGTTGAGATACAACAAGGCCAAAGCAAAAGACAAAATGTTTGGAAAGTAAAATATCTAGCGAGCGATAACGAGTCCTAACGACAATGCAGCTCCAAACAATGCGTGAAGCCTCACGCAATAATACTTGGCCATGAATATTTTCTCATTCTCCTGCAATCAAGATTACATAACTAAATAAAGTCATTTCAAAACTTTGTAAATGTAAAGACTTTTTACTTCTTTTGTTTTTTACCTTGTGGTGCTTTTCAACATAGCTTGAAACCCAATTCCCAACTGGTAAAGTCAGGAAACACATCAACTGAAACACCCAACAAAAAAAAAGATTAGGTTTTTAGTTGTTCTTTTTTTCTGTCATGTTCTCAAATATGTTGTTAACTTACTGTGCAAGTTACTGGCAAGACCCTGGTTAAACCAAGAACAAGAAGCATGGAATATAACAAACGAATAGCCCATTTCACTACAGAAGCTCCTCTTTCATTCCCTAACCGAACCTGTGTAAAAAACCAAGAAAAAACACTCAAATCATAAACACAATCGTCATACAAACATTAAACCAGGTCAAGTTTTTTCACATTTGTACCAGAGGTGAGAATTTCCCCACAGCTAAATCTCCTTCAACCTGTCAAACGTAAAAGTAATCAGCATTGTGCAGATCAGTTCAAGAATCATTAGACCAAGATTTCTTTAAACCAACCTGATGAAAGTGGCTGCAGAAAAGAATGAGAGTTGTGGTAAAACCAACAAAGAGAGACGATGAAAGCACCCTACTGCTTATCGGTAGTTGCCTCATCTCGCTGCCAAAATCCGATTTTCACTAGTTCTCAATTATTCACAACTCATGAAAACAGAAACTGATTTAGGGTTTGAGCAAATACCTTGAGCTACCAAGAAGTAGATAAAAAGCAGTAGTTGCAAAAGGACCAAATGCTGCAAAGCAAAGAGGCTCTCCTAATCCTTGGTAACTTAACCGAAATGGTGGACACTAGAAACCAAGTTTCAAAGTCAAAACATCTCCAAGATTACTATCAAATCATCACATTAGGCAGTTGCATTCACCTGGTATACATAGCCGCATAATATAGCAGAGCCAAGCAAGAGTATTGCACTGAGGTTACTAGCTATCAAAGATGTCCAAACTAGACCGGAAACACCGAGCACAAGCGATGTGACTGCAGCAGTTAACGTTCCTGTTCGGCTTTTTTCCAAGTAAAGAAATGATAAGGAAATGAGTCAAAAAGTTTCAAACTTTATCCTCTGATACACTCACTCACCTTCCAACCATATTGACTACAGATTCCTTTTTGTTCTTATCAGCTCCGGTATCAAAATCATAAACATCATTACTGCCATTAAAACCATGTTTAGTAAGAGAGTACTAACTGTTTATAAGTGAATCAATTAACCAATCAGTCACCTTAAGTTGAGCCAAGTGATGATAAGAATGGATGAGAGCATTAGAGCCGCATAACGTTTAACTAGGAACAAGCCAGTCTCTAAATAGGCTGCAGAAGCACCAACCTGTAGTATTTAGAACAGTGAGGATTCTGATTACATAGCTTATAAAGAGGAAATGGAGGAGATAGAAGAGGAAACATACGGTAAGAGGAATCAAAGCGACAGAGTAAATGGGAAGTTTGATTGCTCTCCATATCAGTTTTGCTTTGGGAATTTCCTCTTCTTGATACACTTTTGCTGTATCTTCATAGCTCTTACAACAGATTGGTTCTACTCTAAGGTTTCTTCTTCTTGTTTTAGCATTCGAGTCAAACACAGGTAGTCTTGTGATTGTGTTTCCTCTGGGAAGCTAAAGCTAAGTAATTTTAGTGAGAGCCAATCAAGAAAGCTTTACATTTCAACCAATTCTTGATTTTACAATTAATGGGAAGTAGATTGGATGAAGCATTAAGCCTACCTTCTGAAATTCGGTTTCACGAGAAAATGAGTTGGATTTTTGGGCACAAAGCCAGAGTTTATGTCACAGAGAGAAACCAATCTCATCATTTTCAACTCTCTCTGTAAAACAAGAAGAAAGAAAGTTTTTTCAGTTAACTACTGAAACAGAGCAAGAACACTAGCTAGTAGCTAGAACAAGAAAACTAGTGAAATTCTAGATTCTTGAAACCCTATAACTAAAATCGTTGGTCCAGCATAAATTAGCGACAATGGAAACGAGTAAGATGAGGAAAAAGAAAGATTTTAAAGTTGGGGACTTTTTACCTTTCGAGCAAGAATCCTTCAAAGAAAATGTGCTTTCTTTGCATAGATTTCTTCAAAACTTGGTCACAAATGTATGATTTTGAAAAAGAAGAAAGTCGATCACTCGCGAGAATCTAAAAAGAAAAACTGTACAAGTTTTTGAATTGTCGGAATTTTGAGGAAGAGAGAAATGAATGATGGAGACGAAGCTTGTTGTTGTTGGAGGAGGATAAAGTCACGTGAGATACACGTGTTTTTAACACCATATGCAAATAAACGATGGGCCTGGGCCTGGGGCTGGGCCTCAAACACCAAAATGAATGTAACCAAGAGACGTTGATGGTATTGATTGATTTGCAAAACAGAAATGTAACCAAGAGACGTCGATGATGAATGAATACACAATGCACAATAGTAATGAAAGAAACATAATTATTGTCATTAAAATCAAGAAAAAGTATTTTGTAAACCTATTAATGTTAAAGGAACAAAGGGAGCATCTCTTTCCTTTAAAGGCTTACGTGGCAGGGCAGTCTACTTGAATACACGATTCCCATGTATTCATGAACGTCCACACTTGGGAATACACGATTCCCATGTATTCCCATGTATTCATGAGGCTCACAGGACATACAATCATTGGTCTAATGAGTTATATAAACCAAACAAATCCAAGCCATGAAACCGATGTGGCACAAAAGACAAATATACAAAACATACAATACTCTTTCCAATTTTTCTCTTCTCTTTGAAGAAATCAGCCAAAACATCGTTTAGTGTTTTAATTTCATTCAGCTTTGACATATCTTGTTTACTTTTTTCTACTTAATAACTACTCCCTCCGTTTCAAATTAGTTGTCATTTTGACAAAAATGTATCTGCAAATATTTGGATATATCTGGATCTGTTACAGATACATTTTACCAAAATGACAACTAATTTGAAACTAAGGGAGTATAAAATTGTAAAATTTTCCAATTGGCAAAAAACAAAGTTTTTCCATTATCATATTCAATTAACAAACACAAATATGTTCTTCTCCATAACTAACTTTTTCATGCAAGAGTATGAAGACAAAGACTCTATTTCCATGTGATTCATCCTTCATCAGGAGAAGAAGACCTCAACACTAGACGTTTTCAAAGACTGACAAACAGGACAAACACCAGTAAACACATCACATTCTTTACACAAACTCAAATGCCTACACGGGACAACCAACACCGATACCTCCTTCACGTTACACGACTTGCATCTCATCCCACCACCACTTGGGATGTTGTTCTGGTGGTTGTACGACGCTGCATCGTCATCAACCTCGCTATCTCCAAACCCTTCTTTCACTTGATGGTGATGATGATGATCAGCTACTACTCCTCCTCCTCCATGTGACATGACTTGTTGGAGATTTACCTTCAAGGCGTTAACAACAGACTCATTGTACTTTGCCCTGTACTGCCAGTTCTGAGCTTCAACCGCCACTTGCTTTATCCTCTCCACGAGGTCTCGGTTCTTCTTGTTCATGCTTATGATCTCCTGATCTTTCTCTTGAAGCTTCTTGCTCACGTCATTCTCCAAGGCCGTGACAAAAGACGTGACATGTCTCTGTTTTATGTCTCTCACTCCTTTCGCCAGTTGATCTGCCTGTTCCAAGAGAGAGACTGCAATATCAAGAACATGCTGATGCAGAAAAAAAAACAAGCTTTGAAGATAGAGATCATAGAACTAGTACCCCGAATTTGATAAACTGGTCAAGCTCGTCTTTCTGTCTATCAAGATCCAGTCTGATATTGTCACTGAGAGACTGAAACATTGGAGTAGTGAAGCTTCCGTTTGCAGAAGTTACAGAAGAGTTGTTACGCTCATCGTCGTCGTTAGAGAGTCTCAGACCAGTTGACACTAAGTTCTGCTTTGGGACTTCATCTTGTTGAACAACACCATTGTTGTTGTTGTTGTTGTAGTTGTAATTCAAAGAGATTTGCAGCTTCTGCTGTTGTCTCTGGATGCTATTGTTGTTGATTTCGGTTTCTCTTCCTCGTTTGCTACTATGCCGAACCATTGGACTGAGGTTGTTATTATCATTAGCAAAGTAGTTTACAGGATCAATAGTACAACCAGCTCTCACTGCAAACCACAACCACATACAAAAGAAGAAGCTTTTAGCTTTATAAAGTTGTAACAACATTCAGTCAAAGCAAATGATCAAAAAGGTCAGAGAAGAAACTTACTTGTTCCGAGCAAGTGAAGCTGATTCAACGATGTGTTTGTTTGGTACTGAAACTGGCTATCGTTCATTAGAACATGCGGCAAAGGATTCTCATTGTTGCCTCCCAACATCTTCTCTAGAGAGCTTAACCGTTTTGTGAGTATATAGCAGTAAAGTATTAAACTTTCAGAAGATTACAGTGAGAAACCTGCAACGAGAGAAAAAGTTGAGACCTTTGAGGGCAAAGTTGAGACCTTTGAGGGCAAAGTTGAGACCTTTAAGAATGTTTCAACAGAATGATCAAGGGATTGATATAATACAAATTACT